GGCCAGCATGCGGATGTCTCAGAGACAAACACTATTCGGGCAGTCCTTTCTGACGCCGAACGAACTTGTACTGTTTTGCGGCGTGCCTTTTGAAAACAAACAAAATTGGCCATCTGTACAACATCCCAGAAATGAACGCAGTGGTAATTCAATGTGGTCACAGTTATCTGCTGTTCTGTATGCGATCCTCAATCCATGGAAGTACATGTAAGGTATTACTGCAATACCAACCATTACGAACGATGATTTAACCACATCAGATCGTTTGAGAATTCCTCAATCATCTCTGATGTATGTGTTGTATAGTACATAGTGGAACAGGACCGTCGATTCGATATCGGACCGTCATCTATGATCTTCGATGAACCTAACGAACGTATTCACCTTCTCAGCCAAACCATTGATGACGGTGAAAAAACCAAAGTACGAAGCAGACAAAGCTCCACCCATTTACATTTTAACACTGCATGCCAATATCTATGATTCTAAAGTTTTCGCTCTCCCATTCATTTCTTATTCCGGGTCACATCACTTGATTTCCTCCTTTCACCATAGCCGTCATTGAACTGTTTGTCGTCATACTGACAGCTCCCATAATTTACCGATCTTCATCCCCCTCATTCGCCTTCTCATCGTCATCATCGTGATCATCATCATCTAAGTCACAACCACAATCATGAACATCAAAACGTAATGGCAACTACCGGTGCTTCACTGTCCTTATCTTGGTTCTGACCGTTTTTCCTATACTTGAGTTTGAAAGAGTGCTTCAGAATGATGTGCCTGGTGCCTTCTTAAACATTCCAGGAACTAGTGGATCGATAGTCAATACCTTCTCCCTGTTCATCATGCCCGTCTCCCACTGTCGGTGTATTCGACACTTGTCACGACGGTGATTTCCGTGAATGCGACCTGATGCCGTATCCCCTAATTTGCTCACACATTTGTGCCTGCAAAATCTTTCGGTATTCCAGATGCTTTTTGAAGGGTTTCAGCACACACACATCAAATTTGCTATTTAATTGTTCACTAATAGAAGGACAACCAGGGTCAGCTGAATGTCTAATCATGGTCCTTCTTGGCATCGACGTCTACAAATGAGTATTTGTGTTCACCGAGAATGCCTTTGTAACTTCATTCTAGAGACACGCTACTCGAAAATACCTAGCAGTGTTATTGACTTAGATCTTCTGTAAGTAAAACAACAGTGTATGAGTTTCGTTGGAAATAGGGGTGTATATAAAAAGAATTTGCCTAACGAATATAGTCTTGCTCACCGAATCTTTCGGGGCCGTTGCCTTCATTTTCATCGAATAAGTGTTTCCACGTATGAGGGGACAGTCTGGTTTAATGTTTCCACACAAGTTTGTGACACGGGTCCAAGACTTATATGGAATTAAATAGTAGGAGGACCAAATGCGTTGCCACCCCACAATAGTTTCAGAATCGAGACCTGAATTTAGAGGAATAACAGTCAAAAATACTGAGGTTTACCGTCTCGATTTCGCCGGAAATAAGGAAAACAGTAGTAAAAATTACTGAATACTACAACCTCGAGAAAACCTAGATGTCTACAGTATGCATCTGTGGATTAGTGATGATATGCTCGCCTCTGGATTGTCAGATGTGCGGAGTTCAAACCCCGGAACGCCTGAGCTGCGACTGTGTGAAACCCGATACCTGTGCTTCCTCCATTTGGCGTGCAATGGCACAGGACGATTGGTCAAACAAGAGTGATGTGGGCGTGCATTCTACAAACCCCGCAACTACCCAAAAGAAATGGCAAAGTTACCATGTATACATATTTGCAATATGTGATGAACCATACTAACAGTGGATGCGGTTTTGTCTGAATTTCAGTACGATGGCGAATTTCAAGTAGCTATGTATACTGCAAATGACACCACAATAGCATGTGCCGCGTTTCATCTGATCGCGACATAGACAAAACAGCGTTTATCTGTGATATCCCGACCACAGTTTCCTGTTGTGGTAGCTTTGATTTTCCGAAAGAAGTTGTTTCAAATTGAATTATACCGCGTTATCTCAGGCGGTGGATTTTCGACTGATAACTTGTTTGTCTTTCTCACTTTATGTTTGGCGCCTGTTGCTCCGTAACTCCTTCTGTACAATTAGAGATCTATCGGTGCACAGAAACAACAATTTTGGTTTCTTCACTTTGTACATTTGACCGAAAATTCACAAAAGAAGCTGTTTTAAAATGGACCCGACTTTCTTTGTTTGTTTGTGACAGCGCAACACAGTTTATGAACGGACCAACCAGAATCCAAATGCGATGATTATCAATGGCCATTCAGACGAATCTGCTGAAAGCCACGTTTTTTTTAAGCGATATAAACGCATGCTCCAACAGAGGGATTACCCACTTAACAGCGCACCGAAGATATCTCCTCGAATGTAAACGAAACGTTTGCAAATCAATTGCCAAGCTCGGTGCAAATATCAACGGTCACCTGATCAGTTACCATTTATTGCATCAGAGCTACTATTATTCCAACGCGTTACGAACCTGGCGCTATCTCATCTCCCGTGCCTGCTTTGGGTAACATGGCAGCTTGGCACCTAGAAATTTTAACATTTGAATAACAATTACTGGTGTTTTTTCTGCTTCGATACGTGTTCGATTTGGTGCGAAGTAATGCGTGTGACCGTTGGAATGATGATGCATAGCCTAGGTCGCGGAAGACACCACGGGACATAGTTCGAACAAGAGACTGATGCGCGAAACAAGCAATTCAGCGGTCCATGTTACACACGTGTAAACAGCATTATCTTCTTTGTAGAAAGATAGGCTGTCCAAAATTCTACCCAAATGTCGTCGGTTAGGAGTAATTACCCCGTTTGTAATGGGTAATAGGGTGAAAACTTCCTAGGGTTTTGTGAAGTGCGCATTGCGTGGTTATTTATTTACTATCACACATGGTGGCTATCTGCATCACAAACTAGTGTGCATTGAATTAATTACTCTCTCCACTTAAATAAAACCAGAGGGCAGGGAGAAACATCTAGGACTGCCCAGATGGCATGACTGATCTGGAGCAAAATACCAAGGGAAACTACAGACAAATGTAATTTTGTTTTCATTTAATCCACAGCTGCAAGAGCTTTCCTTCTTCAGTCAAGAGAAAAAGCATGTGCATCCAGGAACTCCGTCAAATATTCCGTCAAGCTTCTATAGAGCGGTACGGCTAGGCACCTTTGCTGTACACATAGACAAGAACAATATAGAACAACTAAGATCACCATATTGATTTTCCAAACTCATGAGCGGCTTGTTCTAATAAACAATTTCCTCGGTTGCGCCAGGTGCTTTTTGAAACTGATCTAGAAATTCTCATTGCTCATGAAGCATGTGTACAGTGTGTGTAATGCCTTTCGTGTGGAAAGGACGAGGTTTGTTGCAACTTGACAAGTGCCGAACGACCTGTAGAAAGTTGCCAAAACAGCGGGACAAAACGGGCAAACTGAGGAAAATGCATCAGATTTCCGGTATTTCTCTTCTAAATATCGGAACGCGTAGTTGCGGACACAGAACGGGTCCAGGTATGTCACACTGTGATGTCTTTGCGTTTGGTATTTTTTGTATATTACTGTTGATGCAACCTTAAAGGAAGCCAGTTTGTTGTGCACAGAATTGTTTGTTTCAACCGGAAAGCAAACCTTTCAGTGCTCTCCTATTGGCACGCTTAAGTTTCTCCTTGTTACTTGATACTGAGGTGTCACTATGCTATGTTTGATAGGCTTATGTCTGAATTCTGCCCTATCTTCAAATTGCTGTATCAACCCGCCCGACTTGAGAGGATATGTTTACGAATAATGCCTAATATGAATCACTCTGGACCATTCGATTTGTTTTTTTTTGTTCATATAGAGAATACTTATGTAGACAGATGTTTTTGAGGAAAGAGCCTCATTTATTACCGATGACAGGATGCACACGGCCCCTACTCTCAGCTTCTTATAGGTTCTTCCACAGAGTACGTGTTTGGCTGCCATTCATCTAGGCAGAAAAACCGTCCGCAATTTTCGGTTCAGGAAATTGTGCCTTATAGTGAAAAGAAATCTTTTCTTTTTTTCATGGGCGGAGACGCGTTTACCTACTTAAATTTAAAATAGGAATGGTCAGCCTATTATTCCGTAGATATAAATTTATACCTATCTAAACTCCCGTATTTCCATTGTGTTGAATTTAATGTAATGCAAATTGAAGCAGGTTTTGGAGATCTTCTTATGTATTCCATTTTTAAGGCAGACATTTTTCGTTTTTCGTACTTCTAAGACTACTTGTGTTCCGGTATGAGGAAAGCATATATGGCAGAGAATTTCAGGATTGAAGCAGTTTTGGAGATCTTATGTATTCCATTTTTAAGGCAGACATTTTTCGTTTTTCCTACTTCTAAAACTACGTATTCCGGTATGAGGAAAGCATATATGGTAGAGAATTTCAGGATGTAAACCTTGGTAGGATCTCCGCATACCCAGTACCTTGTCCGCTGGTCAGTGGGCGGCAGCTTTCCGGTGACAACAATAATACTTGATTTCCTTCCCGTCAGCTGGGCACCACCAGATCTACCAGCTCTCATCCTTTTCCGACTCTTCAATTGACGATTTAGTGAAAAGCGCTCCGAATTAATTTGAGTAGAGTTTATTGCGGTTGACACTGGTAGGAAGTTTTGGTGTCCTTTATCATCAGACGGTGTTTTGGAAAGCGGAATTGACTTATATAGATAATCCCTGCGTGCAACAGAATTTCTTCGAAGCTGATTCGAAGCTGATTCCAAAACATTACCGATAAAACTGTTTTTATCTGCTCAACAGGCTCTCCCATTTAAACTCTGGGCATGTTTAACAACGTTGGAGGCATTGCGTACACTTGCGCGCTCTCTTTGGATTAGATCACCTGTTAGATAAACAAAACCACTGCACTTTCACGGCACTTACCCTCTGTCGTCATCTGGTTTATGGTCGAAAGGTGCCAGGCTGTTCATTAAAGTGTATGGGCAAGCTGTTCAACATCACATTTCAAAAAAGGTTCGTGATGGCCTATTGTTTTTACCATGGATACCTCCGACAGTTGGGTGGAATTAAACTTAGAAACCGAGTAAATATGGCAAAAGTCTGCTTGGCTCACAAGACAAATGCATGATTCCAAAAAACCCACTTCAGGTGCAGTCAAGCTCGATTGTTTTCACTGAATTTCGATAGAGCTACCGTTGGGCCTAACGTCTTCTAAATTCTCCGTCAGGCTGAACAAAAACACTCTCCAGTCAGCCGACGGCAAAAGCAAGTCAGAAATTTTGAAACATTAGTTTGTGTCGTCTACCCGAACGGAGGAACGTTCCAACAGGTTGTAGTTACTAGGGGCTCGAGCCATAATACTGGTCAGCCTAGTGTGGGCAACCCTGCTAACTAGTTCCGGTAAATATCAGCCATTATGTGAAAACCTCACAATTATGTTCATTATATTTCCTGCATTTTATCTTTTTTTCCACGGCAGCCACTTCGAATGCAGACAAATGAAAGTGGCAAAAAGGAATTTCGCAATACCAGAAGTCATTTTGCTGGAAGGGAGGTTGTGTATGGGTGAACTTGCTTACTTTGTATGACGCGGTATACTTTATTCATCCCACATTCTGGTGATAAGTATTTCCTTGGTAAGGTTTGTTTAATCACTCTGAGTGGAACTTGTAGGATTGTGACCAGTTCCAGGAGAGAAGCTGGTGAATTATTAACTGCATAGCTCTGTCTTCCCTCTAGACAACGGTGTCTAAACGAAGCAGCTGCTTTGAGAACGATTTTGAGATACCTTAATGATTTAGTGATAACTGAGGTGAAGATTCATTTGTGCTCGGTCCTGGATTTCTGTGGTAGGTAAGCGTATGGCTTCAGGATAGTGTCCCAGACACGACGTCTAATATAAGCGTATTCAGATATTTGTATATACTGGGACGACAGTTGCAGTAATAAGGTATTACTATGTTATTAATGTGTGGAGAAATATGCATACTTTTGAAAATCACAGACACACGCATGAATACCCCCCGAAATACGCCTGCTACTCATTGTTGCATGGTACCACTTTATCAAAGTTGATAGCATGTGAAACACAGTTGATTAAGCTGCGGCACACTAAGTCTGTTTTCCAGGTAGCTTCCTTCGTTTGGATGAGTACAGTTTGTTTATTCAGCTGACTTTAACAAGAACAACAAGAAGGGTTCTTGTAGTTCAGATCAACTTCGCCTGGTTCGGATTTACATTTGTTAGTTACAAAGTGAGAACGGAAGCTTGACCTTAAATATTTTGGAATACTGATAGTAGCGATATTCCATATTGATTATATCAACAGTATTTTATGTGGGTCATACCATGAATGAAAATTTCTGTGACTGTCCAATCCCATGGTGGCTATCAAGACGCTTTGAAAGAAGATGTAAAGATGAAAAGGTGGATGAATAAACGAGCAGACACCTGACAAGATTTTGAAAATTTTCGCACAGTTCTTACCGAGGCTGTTGGGTTTTTCAAAATATACGGACTCCTCCCAAATTGAATTAGTGAACTATTCATATGGCCTGCTTAGTTAAGAAGGAATATATGTACAAAAATGTTAGATAGATAGATAGATAGATAGATAATAGATAGATAGATAGATAGATAGATAGATAGATAGATAGATAGATAGATAGATAGATAGATAGATAGATAGATAGATAGGATAGAAGATAGATAGATAGATAGATAGATAGATAGATAGATAGATAGATAGATAGATAGATAGATAGATAGATAGATAGATAGATAGATAGATAGATAGATAGATAGATAGATAGATAGATAGATAGATAGATAGATAGATAGATAGATAGATAGATAGATAGATAGATAGATAGATAGATAGATAGATAGATAGATAGATAGATAGATAGATAGATAGATAGATAGATAGATAGATAGATAGATAGATAGATAGATAGATAGATAGATAGATAGATAGATAGATAGATAGATAGATAGATAGATAGATAGAATAGTTGTTTGATCTGATTTCTTGTGCATGAATGTTGTTCAGTCGTGGTCTATCATATGCCGAACAATGGGATGCCAATCGCTTTATGTTACATTTGAAACCGTTTGCTCAAATTAAGAGGTACCTGTTGTACGTTGCCTGATCCTGATCAACTGTTATTTTAAGCTTATTTTATTACGTCAACAGAACCCATGCCCAGACAGATCATCGCACGTTTTGGGAGCAATTTTAAAAGGGATTTCAAGTTGTCTGTTAATCTCAGTGGAACACTTTGCGGATGCACTGTCTTTCGCCAATTTACGTAGCTTCAAATCAAATATTCCGGCGTTACTCATCATGGATAAGATAACGGTCATGAAACTGTCACATTTCAGTTTCCTTTGTCTAATGATCCAATGTTCAGCCTATCTCCGTCTGTTGTGTCTATAAAGCTGAATAGCCTTTTAGAAGTCGCGACCGTCCGCAAAATCCGGTTGTGTGTGGTGACTTCGGAAGTTTAAACGAGATCTGCCAGCCTTAAAGGGTTTTATTCATTTTCTAATAAACTTGCTCCGGAAAAATGCAAAAGTAATATTGTGAAGATGAAAACCCGCGAATGTGGACAAAATCAGCCGGAAGAAAACCCCATGAACGCGCTGAAGACGCACGATGCAAGTCTACACAAGAAGGACAGGATAAACACGGAAAGCCAAAGAGGTGGAAGAGGCTCAGACGGACGGTAACGCCCGAAGATTAGTTCACTTAATCAGCGCGACGGGTCACCAGAAACCTGTTAGCGAAACAATCAAGGATCAGACTGAGGTGACCATCTTAGACAAAGAAGAATGACTTTGGTGGTGGGCCGAATATTTCAAACAAGAGCTATCTCAGCAAACAACTGCCACTCATCTGAAGTCCACAATTAAGGTAGAACCCTGGACGGTGAACCCGGAGCCCCTTTAGCCTCGGATTTTTACGACTGCATATGACCTCTCAAGCACCACCGAGCTTCTAGTCCAGAAAACCTCCCACCCACATTGTTCAAAGATAGCAGTGAAGTCCTCAGTCAGCGCCTGTCTGATCTGCTTGCATGCAGGAAAACAACGTTAGGTAGAATGATTGATACATAGCTTGGATATGGTGTGAAACACTAACCCGAGCAATCTTCTCGGATCCTCGCCCATCGTCCATCCAACTTGGTCACAGCAGTCTCTAGACTGTCAACTAAAATTTTCATGAACCCAAATAATAACACCTTTAAGGAGCTCAATGCTATGCCGCACCCTGCTGCATTATGGGACTATTTAAAATAGTATTGCTCCGGAAGAGTTTCTAATGGTCCACCAGCTTTTGCGGCCGTTCTAGCAGCATTATTTTTATTGTTACATTTTATATTACATCGACCTTTATTGGTACCAGCGCGTACCATATTATATTACGCCGTGCTAAAACATCCTTTACTATACCAGGCTACACTACCCATATAACGGTGGATAATACTGGTGAGGCATGTAAGTAATATGTTTTCTTGTAAATCCGACTGCACTATACAACTATTCGAAAAAAATACTTTTTCGGAAGAATCTCCGTTTTTCCATCCAGTTCGATAGCCATGCCAGCAGGATTAGTTTGATTGCCACAGTTCAGTCCGTGTTGGTCTTCTTCGATGTCGGTGGACAGGTCTTTTCGGGGTTTCCTTCTCTGGTTGTCCTCAACGTAGAGTAGAAGCTTGATTTGGCTAACGATGACTATTTCAAGTAACGTCAGTTCATGTTTTTGGCCGCTTCGAATGGAAAGTTGGATTCAACTTTTTATGGTACTTCAAAGTCACACGGTTCACTGAAGCTACTTCAGCAAAATAATTTAACATAAGTCTATCAGACAGAAGCTTTCCAAAAAAGCCACTCTCCTAGGTGCCGCAATGACATTTTCTGCGGAGAAACTTTCAGATGAAAACAGAGAAATTTTAACACTACCATCTGCCCGAATTGTTAAATCGGAGGCTGAACTCAGAGCTCGTGAAGTAGTAAAGAACCGTTTCACTTGTTCTGCAGGTGTGTCCTTAGAAAATTTGCACTGTCATGTTTTGCGCACCACCGTGATGGTGAGGTTGCTCTGTATTTTCCAGCAACTGCTTTAATTCCACTTGAATCAGTAGTATCAAATACGTCAAGCTGTAGGATGTGTACTTCCTTTCGTGGGGAGAATTTTGTGCTATAACTCTCACTAAAATCGGGCTGCATACTCTACCGACCTCCACATGTGAATCGCCTCACGCTGTTGCGCAGCAAGAGTGGATATTTTGTACACTGACATCCTAATGTATGGGCATGTTCACACACGGCTGTTTAACTACCTTACCCTGCAAATCTTATTCGGCTACTAGGCATTTTTAAGTGTCATGGTCGTCAAGTACCAACAGATTCTACAGAAAAACATATCATCTTATGTTCTTCTCCAGTTAGTAGTATGCACGAAAACAAAGGCTTGTTGCCGAAATCAAAGCGAGATTATCCCCTACTGTTGTGTTGCAACTCCTGTATCTACAGTTCCGAATCCGGCTTCAACAAAAGGTTTAGCTAGTATGAGTCAAACTGCAAACCCAATAATCGATCTTCATACATTAAACTGGCAACCGTGTACCTAACTGTGAAATGTTCTCAGGATTTCCAAGCAGCACCGTCATCTCTCATTGTATATTACTGACTCTGCAGCCAAATAATATGCCGACGATTCCGATGATAGCTGACCGTACTCTCGCACATGATATCTGAACACTCAGCATGACTGGCCATCCAGCGGTCGGACCGGGTTCGAAGAATATCAAAAAGCCTGTGCTTTTAACATGAAATGTGATGAGAAACTGTATGCAAGTGACTGCAAGTTACTTACTACCTACATGGTTGTCTTTGTTGCTATAATATTATTACATATATATTTGAATTTAATGTTTTAGACGATCTTCATAAGCGGTCTGTAAACAGCTGGTGATCAGCCAGATGCAAAGCGACAGTCTGCTCGTATTCATTTCATCCATTAATGATGAATCGAAGATGATCCGAGGTGGAAATTCTGCGGGATAATTCATAAATATCGTGGAATACATCACTAGCCGCTTGATGAATAACCGATAAGGGAAATTTTGCTACTGATTTCTCAACATATTAACAAACCTATCGCAGGAAATTTTGCCGTCTTGCAAATGCCAGTTGCCATTTTGCTACTAAACACTAAAACAAACCGCTGTGGAGAGAGACAGCGTTACGATAGTAGGAGACGTTCATCAGAAATTTGGAACGGTTTAGCTTGAACCACGGATTGTTCTCCTTGAAAGTTAATCCGACAAATGTTGGTTTACTCGCAGTGGAGTCGTGATTGTCACCGGTGATCTACGTGACAAACTTGTCAAAGGGCAATGATGAAGAATCAAATTAAAAATCTACATGGATCACAATTTACGTGCATCCTAGTCTGGCTGGCAGGGCTGATGAACTCTGGGCACAGAATGTACTCAAATGAGGGGAAAAATGGGTAATAAAAATGCTATGCACAATGTAGCTTCCAATTCAATATGAGGTATATTTGCTTGGGCAGAGAAAACCATGGATGAATGGTATTTTGGTTCTCAGAGAGATTTTACACTCACTCGGAAGTTTTTACCGTCTCCATTTTGGTCCACCGACCAAATTACCGTTGTGTATATATTGTCGTAGCTTGGACTATTGAGCCATGTACGAATATTATGTTTGACGGGCCATACATTCCTGGTCATTGTTCCGCCATCAGATTTGGTCGTCCACAAAATGGGATATTTGGATAATTTAATATCATAAATCCCTAGATATATATCCTGTGCAACGGGGCTCGTTCTGATAAGACTGTTTAACTACACAATCGCAGAGAGATCATGGGTGAGTCACATATTAGATTGCAAGTACCATTTTTCTCATTCAACCAGGAGCGGACTCAACCGTTTTATTGTGATTTTGACTCTTTGTCAACCAGCTACTATACTTTGAAAGCGTTCCCGGAAACGCGTCAATTTTGAATATATCATAGTTGACAGTTTGACAGTGGCTGAACCAGGATTATTCCTTGAAAGGAACTGGGTGCTATTTCCATGAACCACCAACGGATGTTCCGTAAAATTACAGAATCGTCCGCAAAATGAGCTTGATGGCACACATGTGTGAATGCAATAAAGTGTCATCGAATTTGAAGCTGACGTTGCTCCTGGTCCGTGACTGCGGTCAGGACCTCCTGTGAACAGCAAACTGGTTGAAATAAGCTGAGCTGTTAATGTGCTAACCACAACATATCTCGCTCGAAGGTTTTGACGAGCTTTCTTAATGCTGATTGGCTGTATTGCTGCGCTCGTCGGTCCAAATCAGCTGCCAAATGGACAAAGGCTGAGAAATCTCACATTGAAAGCCATGGTCAAACGCATCTAGCATATCGACGAGTATTTCATTGTTTTTTTTTGACCACAATGCACTTCGATCAAGAAAAGGATAAGTCATGTTGCCAAGTGTAAAATCAACCCTGATTTGAAAATGCCGTTTCTTTATGGTTGCTAACTCCTACCGCTAGCGTGGCCTAATTGTTTTGTTCAGATAAATGTGATCACGGATTCCACAGGTCTGAAAATTTATTCTGGTAAGTTTCGAGTGACTGTGATATCATTGACTGGAATGTTTAGAGAGATGAGCCAACCGTTCAACATAATGAAGTGCTTGTACAAAATCAACTATATCGGTCATATTGGAACTCGTTGGGCTTATGCAAACGGATAATTCAAATGTGTTTGCAACTTTTTTGTTAGTTGTAAACTGTTCACCGCATCCTTCATCTATTACACCTTACAATGGTTAATGTTATGCACTACTGATGAACCACAATACGAGCACAACTGGAGTCCGCGGAGCCGCTCTCTTTGACGTTAAATGACCGAACAGGGGCAGAGAGAAAACTCAGACGGCAAAAGTATGAATGTAAAATCCTTACAACCGACTGGTGGATTCCTACTGTGCTGTTGTAGGTAATGATGCACCGGGTACATGCGTGCGTTCATAAATCTGAAAAGTCCCAAATGGCTTTGGCGTTGAGTGTAGATTTCTGCCACAGAATCTTACACCAGACCCAGTATGACGGACACTTTGTGCCCTATGTGCGAGTCTTGATTGTGCTAGCGCTTACCGCGCCTTGAACAGCATTCAGCATTGTTTGTCCCTTCTCCGGTTGTTTGTCTTTACCTGGAGGAGAATTTTCGGGGTCACATCAGCTCGAATGTGTGCAGCAGATCGACTCTCAGTCGTTTTACACACGTGTTTGCATACCACAAATTCTCACATACGTCGAGATGCATCTTGTCTGACTGGAACTGTTAGTGGTATGAATTCGAATGAGACGCTGCTATCTTTTTATCCAGTATTCTCCTCTAGTTCTCCCGTTCACCATTCACCACATTCACCGCTTGCATTTACTTTTTATGTCTGTGACCATGCTTTTAAAAAGTAAACGATTGTATAGGCAGTGAATTGCAGACAGTTTCTGAGTTGACATTCGACTTTTTTTCAATGTAATGTTGGGCCCAGGCCATCATTGAGCTTGAACTTTATCAAAGCACATTAAATAAACTGTTTTCCTTGCTCTCTCGGTCTCGTCAGATCACCGTGTTTGGTGACAGGCCAGTATCACACAGCAAGGCTGTTCTGGGTAAGTCTGTAATGTGGCTGTCAGAAAGAGCCAAGGTGCAGTAACGAAAAGCTGAGATCAGTGAATGAAGGAGCAAAGAAATTCACAATGTTCAAAATATTGGTTGAAACCATGCTCCTGAAGAAGAGCTTGTTTTGTGGATAATCAGATTTGAGGTGAAGGACCAGAACTCTGCTCGAGGGTCCCGTTTTGAACACCTGACAAAAGACGTAAAAAGTATCCAGAAAATCCTATCCAGTTTGAACGTTAGAAAGCAGCTTATGCTGAAAGTCTGGATGGTACATTATGAACATCCACAGTAACCTACTGGGAGTTTTAAAAACATATGGGGTTTGGTAGAAAGCAGAAACTGTGCCCAACCAACGGCATGAATTCCAGTGTAGAAAATTGGTGAAAGGCTTGAGAAGAACAAACGGGAGGAATATGAGCAATCTTTGTCGTAGCTGAATGACACTGCTGGCTTTCGCAGGGCAGAAACTGAAACCTGACACGATTGTGTCAGATTCTCACAATGAAGTCATCTCATTCCACGGGCAATAGGACAACAAACAGAAACTTCCAAAGACTATGTTCAAACTACTGGTATGTGAAGCTAAGGGAGAGGCAACTTGTCCTGACATGATTCATGTTAAGCTCTTCTGTAATGAAACGATTTGCTCCTTGTGTCGGTGCACTCGGGTAAGAGTGCCTGTGTTAAGAAATTCTCGATAAATCGGTGCTATATCAGTGATATGACCACAAGTGAACTTATGTCCAAAAATTTAGGTCACCTGGCAGAAACTTGTAGAGACCGGCTTAAGTCCACGTTGTCAAAACTGAATAGAGTAATGTGCAGAATTGTTTCTGCACGTAAAAGGGCCGTCTGTGATGGTCTCGTGAACCGGCATTCTCCCTCCGCATCGATTCCTAGTGGAGCTCCATTTAGCATTTCCAGGAGGATGAATGTGGGACTGAATTTCACACAGACATAGATGGTAGTTTTCCCTCAAAAGAAATTAAGGGAAAAGAGTTCCAAGAATAACTGAAATAGTGAACAATTGTCTCTCAGTTCTAGGCAAGGTTAAAAAATGGCACAGAGCTGTCTCGTGTATATATTATGTAGTTGTTCTGACTGGTTGTGTTGGATTCACCCCATTGGACATTTCAAGAAACTTCAGGAGCGGAAAAATCGACAGGAAATCAAAATTTAGCAGGTAACCCTTGATGCAGACGCGCTGAAAATGTGCAGGACAGTGTAGGAGTGCAAGATGTTTCCTCTTTGTTTTGGCGCAAACAGGTCACTGTTATGAGTTGTGCACTACAAAGTAAATGTCTAGAACAGGATGGGATATTGAAATAC